GGCCTTATTCATGAGTTCAATTATTCACGAGGCCTTTGACCTAGCCGACGATTTTTTCCCTGCGCGGGCGAAAGATGAAAGTAGGCTCTCGTCGATTTTGATCGAGCTTCCTGCTGGAGTGCCGTCGTGCTAGGAAAAACATCGTATGAACATTCGACAGTTTTCCAAGATTTCCCCAATATTTGTTTATTTTCAAGATTAATTTTCAGATACTTAGATCTGACAGCGAATAAAATTCTTTGAAAAATTGGAGGAAAACTGCGCTCAGATTTCCTAAAAATGCGTATTTCATAAAAGGAAATTTGGCAACGTCTGAAAGCTCATACGGCGTTTTTGCTCAGCAAGGCAGAGTGAATGAGCAGGATAGATAGGCTCAAAAGGGAATGTTGCGCTGAATCAATCAAAAAACGCATCAAGTGCTTGAGTCGCGGATATAAAAATGTGATCCTTACATTGAGAATGAAGCCTTTTTTAACTCAAATTTCGCATAAAAATGACTAACGCGTTGAGGAAAATTTCAAATATTCAAAATATGAGTAAAATTTAAGCATTCATCATTCACATATTTCCGTGGAAACCCGTATTTTATCATCAAAAATTTGGCAAGGCCTGAAGGTTCATACGGTGGTTTTCCTTTAGCACGACAGCATACTCTTTCTAGATGATCTGGACTACATTTTGCAATGGGTCAGTTGCACTGGTTATAGAATTGTGTTTTGATGCTTGATTCTTGTAGATTAGCCAAAAATAATAAGATTCGTCCAAACCGCATAACTTACTACGTTCAATATTGACCGAGATTACGCCCTTTGAAAAGTCGGGGATATGACGTCATCTGCCGCGGTAGTGACACCCTTGGTTGCATCCACTTTGCTTCCATCTGCGTTTCATGTAGAGTAACCAGTGATGCAAATGTGCGTCACGCTGACCGATGAAAGCAAGGTGAGAGAAACTAAGGGTGTCACTACCGGTGAAAACGGTGTAGTGTTTGAAGTATTTATCTGATGTTGAAGGCGCCATAAATAGAACGCGCGGGCGCGCCTTACGAGGTCTGTTAGATTAGAAACCGGATTTTTGTCATAACTAGCCTACAATGCGTCCAAATTACGTTTTCTTGAGCTTTTCTGATAGCTGAAAATATATTTAAGAACGCTACGTTCACAAATTTGAAAAATCGTAATTAGCTTCGTTGGTATGTGGCTTGAAGTAAGGCAACCTCAAGGGTGTTTTGCGATTTTTATGTTTGACCGAACTTGTCTCTCTTTTTTCGGTCTTGCACAACATTTTTCAACCCACAAGGACGATTGGAGTTTCGTCTCCATATCGTAGCCGTACACTAAAGTATTGTCACCGAAAATTATCCTATCCAAAAATGTAGGATCATTGTTAGAACGTTCAAGCAGCTAAAGGTAATTTGACATTTGGTTGGATTTTCGTTCAAAGGACAACAATCAAGGGGCAAGTGTACCTGAAACTCGATGCGTGTCTACATATTCTATCAAAATTGTATGTACAGAGCCTTCAGAAATATGACTTTGTTCAACAAGCTCGAAACGACCATTTTCGAGCACTTTTGCCCGCATTTCTTCCACGTGACAAATGTCAGTCGCCGTTGAGGGTCGATTATTCCCACGCTCCTCATCTTTAACGAACTCCTGACCAGTTTTGAATCGTTTAACCCATTCAAAACAGTGGGAACATCTCATACAATGATCATGGTAAACTTTTCTTAGCATATACCAAAAGTTTCGGTACAAGGTATACCGAGTTGAAAACAAAATTTAGTGTTGAATCTTTGCTCTGTCAGTGATCGCATGCTAAAATCGCAAAACGCACCTGACTTACTCGTATTCAAGATGACACAGAATAAACACTGATCAAAATAAACAAAATCTGTGAACGTAGCGTTCTTAAGTATATTTCCAGCTATCAGGAAAGCTCAAGAAAACCTAAATCGGACGCATTGTGGGCTAGTTATGACCAAAATCCGGTTTCTAATCTAACAGACCTCGTATTTTGCCCGCGATAATTTGATCGCTACAATTTGATCGAGACGTTAGCGAATGCAATAGTAGACAAGGTCGAAATAAGCATTCTGTCGAGTTTGTGTCTAATCAAAATTTCACGCAGAACACGATTATTTCACTGAAATCAACTAACGTTTTCATTGTGCAGTAGTGACAATTTTGATTGCTTGATCATAAGGAACGTACCACGTAAGTCACGATAAAATACCAATGCAAATTTGCAACACACTGACTGATGGAAGCAAGGTGAAAGGAACCAAGGGTGTCACCACCGCGGTGGATGACGTCAAAACCCCGACTATTCAAAGGGCAATATCTCGGTTAATATTGAACGTATAAAGCTGCGGTTTGGACAGATCTTTTTATTATTAGCTAATCTACTAGAATCAAGCATATGTACTTCTTTCTTTTCTTTCTCTCTCTCTCTTTACGTTTTCCTCTTCCCGTATCCCTCCCTTGTTCTTTCTCCTTCATTTCCTCTTAGATTTCCCCTCCGAAGTCAGGTATTTTAGTGGATGCATCAAAAATTCTAATTCGTTACCGGAAAATGGACCGCGTTTAGCAGGAAGGAACCAAGCCACATCACCTATTGACATTTTCAACTGGGAAATTCTATTTTATACATTTGAGCGGATATTTTTGAAAATTTTAAGACATTTGCTTGCGCGTCTGACTTTAGACCAATAGGTCCCGGGTTCGAATCCCGGTGGTGGCGACAAATTTTCATGGAACTGACGTGAGGATCTGCAGAAACAGATTCTACTCCGCCTTAATCCCTGAAAATTTGAAAGCCGGAGCATGGATGTCCGTATCGCCCTGTTGTCTACGGATATTAAATCTTTCTCTATAGTTGGCTGTAGACTTCTGATAAGAGGTGTAAGCCATTAAACCTGCAAAAAAAAGAGACATTTGCTTCTACTATGCAGAAAATTGTCTGACATTTGCACAAAAATCCGCACAACCGTTTTCATGTAAAGAATTAAATTGCTCAATGAAATTTTGCAGTAGCTGATTCAGCTTGGTTCTTTTCTGCTTAACGCGGTCCAAATGTAATTCATTTAATCCTAATCGGAGTTGGCAACGCCGCAGCAAAAGAAGATCCTCATCACCAGGTCCGGAGCCTGATCAACGCCAACCAGATCCTGGCGAATCGGAGTCGAAATCAGAGATAAAGCCAGAACCAGAGCCAGTAAGCCGCGGAAATGGGTCACTGGGCACACACTTTTCCACGCTTCATTGTGCCCGAGTGTTTTCCACGCTGAACCGAGTCGAACCGCACCGAGCTTTCTACTCGTCTCCCCCCCCCCCCCCCCTCCGCAAAAGGTAAAACCGAACGGAACCCCGGGAGAATCCTTTATTATATTAATAAGATTTTTTTATTAATGGCTATATGAGGACTTATCTGTAAGAATAGCGGATGTGAAACATTACCTTTTCGAAACACATTCAAAAAACTGTTTTGGCATCGAGAAAATTTTGAGAAAATACTTGAGATGTGATATTTCGAGATCTGTACATTATGCCAGAGCCAAACATATTAAATTTTTGTGTGAACAAAACTGTTTTTTAAGCGTGTTTCTAAAAGGTAATTTTTCACATCCACCATTGTTACATATAAGGCCTCATATGTGTTGGCTTTAAATGAGTCGCGTTGTTGAAATGAACATGACCGAGAGATCATGGGCGTCACAGAGACAATGAAGATCTTGCATGTGTGGGAGGTTTGCGACTTAAGTACTTTTTCTTGTGCAAAATTTCGGGAGAAACACGATGATGCGACCAATTTCCTCTGAAACGAATTCCAAAGCTCAAAAAAAAACTCAAAGTTGAGGCCGCAATGGTGGGGATATTCCATTATTCCATACTATCCCGAGAGTCCATATCTACATCTAGTCAGACTCTCAATGCAAAGACAGAGAGCAAATACGTAAGGAGGGTGGCCGTAATTACAGCCGTGGAGTCGCCAAGCAAAGTTGAAGCCTCGCTGATGTATCTGCTCCCTATCTTCGCATGGAGAGTTTGACTGGACACAGAGGTGGACTCTCACTCAGCGTGGCGTGAGGGAAACCCTGTATTACGAATTCAACTTTAAGAGGTATTTTGAGCTTCGGAGTTCGTTTCCAAGAACACCAGTGGCACCTTCGTGTCTCTCTCGAAATTTTAATTCGGGATGGTCGACGTTTTAACTTTTTCAGCTTAAAAATTTGAGGGAAAAAATTGAAGTTTTAATCTGCTGTGCATAAATCTTGAAGCTATCAGATTACGAAAAAATTGCCGTCACATTGACAAAGCTTAAGATCTTAACAAAATAATTAGCAATTTCAATGAAATTTTTAGTATAAAACTTATTATTTGGAGACATAGACGCGTTTCAATTTGGTGCCTTGGAATTCTCCTCCAAATAAGCAAGGATCTTTTCAAAATGTCGCTAATTTAAAAAGAGTGAAATGATGTAATATTGATTACATGCAGGGCAATTTAATTTTTACATTTTCCCATGAGTTTTGACGCGAAAATTCTATGTAAAATTTGATTTTCTTGATATTTCTAAATTTGTGGGTTCGTAATTCATTGTACTTTCTTATTCGCGGTATTTATGCTGTTAAAATGATTTTTCGTATCTCTTCTCGCTCGTCTGGGAAGAGGGAAACAATTCAAAACGTTGTACATCGTTGGTATGCCCGCCGCCTGCGTAACTTACAAACGCATCGGATAAAACTCCTGAGAGGCATCAACCTGATTGACTTCAATCCTACAACGTGTGAGTATTGTGTTTGGTATCACTGGCATTTGAAGGAGAATTTGGAGAGTATCGGAAATGTTGTCGTTGTCCAACTGAAACTGCTCTATGCTAAAGACTTGAAGCAAAAGTAAAGTTTCATTATTTTAGCCTTGTTCAGAATTTAAATGCAATTTGTTAATTGGACATGAAATGATCTTAAAACCTTGCTACATGATAAAGCATAGAAAACGTATAATCATAGGAGTATATTTTCGAACATAATTACTAACATTTTGTACACAGATATACATAAAACAATAAATTTAGAATTACAAGCCTTATCAATGAGGCGAACAATCGCTCAATAAAAAAATAAACTTACATCATAAAGAGAGAACATTTTTCCGTGAACGATCAGGCAAAATGCAGGCACAGGATTGCTCCAGAAACCATTTCACGCGCTTTTAAACGTAGTGATGATAAATTTCACCAAATTCAATAAGCTATGAGTTTTCCTATAACTATATACAAAAACATTTGTGAACATTAAGAGATCGTTAAAACTAATTAGCATTACAGGGATATAATAAATAAAAGAGGCAGTACTAAAATAACTAAACTGCTGCCACTTTCAGGTGCTTGTATTGATGTTGAAACGGCAGAAATAAATATCTCGGTTTCCGGCATTCAAGTTGGGGAGGAGAGTGTAAGGGACTGAACGCCTTTTATGTAAAGTTCTAAACATAGAAATTGGAATATTTTCCCAAAAATAATCCTAAAAGTAATGGGGGTCAGTTCGGGAAACCTGGATCCTCCGATTGGGCCACGATTTTGCACTCTCCTCTTTTCTTTCCATGAAAATAAACACTGCAGTAGCGAGGCGTAAACAATCGATTTTCGATATTCCTATATTTGAAGCTAAGGCAAGGAATCAATTACTAAGATGTTCGTTTCGAACACTCTGTTTATCGACCTTTTTCCACAAGTTTAATTGGCGGATCAATCGATTAGTCGCAAAGCACGCCACGAGACACGGAGGGAATTTTTCACTGGTTCATCGTTTATCAAAAGTCTTACGGAGCTGGACGAAACAATAGACTCCACGCAAGAACGGTTGCGTTTAAAAAGACCACGGTTTCTTTCCAAATACCTATTTTTCCGTTCTCATACTAAAGTCATGGAATAACATCGGATGGTCATTCATCATAAACGCACACAACCTCGAGTCTCAGCAGCTTCAACAGCATGAAAATTGATCACATGCAAGAAGAAAGTTTCCAAAGAGCTCATTTCAGACATCTGATCCCAATGGTTTGACTATTATGTCTTGAATCTGAAAAATAAATAGATTAGTTTTAGAGCGTTCGTTTTCTGCGATGCAAGATAAGAGAGGATGAAAATATCATTAAATCTCCTTACTATCCATTCCCATAATTTAGCTTTATTTCGAAGCGGGAAGCAGGTTGGTGCGCTTTTAACTTAAACGAGGTTGTATATCATTATTTTATTCAATATGTGTTTGATCTTTTATCATCTATGTACTTAGAGAGTGGTAAAATTCAGGAATCACAAATCGATGGCTAAATTGCGGGAACACGTCTCACCGTTTGCGATGTTCCCGACTCCTATCGTACTTTATTTTCCACTGGAAAACCAGTCAATATACTTTCTTGAAAATCTTCTTGATTCTTCTTATTTACCGGCAGAATATTCTGTGTAATTTAAGGCTGTTTCTCTTCGAAAAAATAAAAAATCAGCGGAAATTTTGAAATACCGTGGTTCCATACTTCGGCCATCGATATTAGATTTTCCATTTTAGATATTTCCAACCAACGAGCATGATTTTCAAATTTTTATGGAGAAAAAAATCAATTTAAAAGTGCGATTCTCAAAAACCAGTCTTTTTTAAAACGATTGGTGGAGATTTTTCTAATCACTGTCGTGTTTTTCAACTTATTTTTTAAGAAAATGCAGGCAACTGTGTTTGTATGGCGATCTGTGCCCAGAGGGCTGATCATTGAAATCGACAAATAATGCGATAGCAAAGAAGACGAAATGAAAATGAAGCGACCTTATTGGTTGAAACGGGTGGTTGTTATGTACTGAGGGGTAAGTTATGGACTAAATATAGGATCTCGAGCTAGTGGGATTCCGTTTTAATTAATCTATAACGTATCTTTCCCCGAGGATCTCTACCATGACAGATTCCTGTGGAGAATAGGCGTCGCAGAGCGCCCTAGCGCGCCGTAAAAGCGGCTCATACATACATATACTTATCTCCTTCGTCCATTTCAACCTCCCGCTCCAATCAATAGGATTGCTCCATTTTCTCCTATGATCTTCGTCAATCACTTTTTCTATGAATTGCAATAATCAGTCTGCAGGCGTTGCACAAATTAGACTTCATTTTACAATAAAAAACCATTATTTCTGCTCCATCTATAAATGCACCTTTCTGCGAAGGTCAATTGATAGTGCATGTGTTGTCTCAAAAATGGGCGACAAATAGAGGCTCCTCGTTGCAAAATGGGGTCTGATTGGACTATATTTTGCAATTAGGCACTACAATTTCCAGCTCACTTTAGAGACAATGTATGTGCCATTAGTTTCCATTTGCAGAAAAGTGCTTTTACACACGAGTCAGATATTGTAGTTCCTACTTGCAAAATGAAGTTCAATTAATGTGAAGAATGTATACTCGAGGGCCTTTCTGAGAAAGATAGCTCCATTCGCCCCCTGCCTTCTTTATCTACAGCATAGTCCATCAATTTCAATAATCAGCCCCATCAGCAATAATGCTTTATGTGAGAAAAGAAAAATCATAGCCTAGGCTATGCTGCCGTGCTAAGGAAAAACGCCGTATGAACATTCGAGAGTTGCCAAATTTCCTTTGATAAAATGTTTATTCTTGACGAAAATTATGAACATTTTTCCTTGACATTTTCAGGAACTTTAGATCATACTACGAACAAAATCCTCTAAAAAAAATTGGAAGAAAAATATTCATAAATTTACTGGGAAATTCGTGTTTTATCGAACGAAACTTGGCAACGTCTGAGGGCTCATACGGCGTTTTTCCTTAGCACGGCAGTATGGTCAATCATACTAACTTGAACATGTGGCGGGGTACTCAAGACGAACTCTATCGTCGACGCAACATCCTCCGGTTGTATGCAAGGTCGAGAACTGTACAAGAACTCGTCGAAGTCGTAGCCCAACGATGATTTGAATATCGCCGACTTCACCAAACCGGGGCTCAAACACTGGAATTAGACGTATGCAATATTAAAACAACATCGCAAGGCGCACAGTCTCTTCATTTTTAGCGTTGATTTCCCTCGGGCTCAAGGTGTATGATGCATCGCTTTAATCTAATATTCAAAGGTGCTCTGCATTTCGTTGCTCCTTTTATGTAAGGGCGTATCTTGATCTCCGCATGAGCCCTAGAAAGCATGGATTTATATGGAGAATAGGGCTCAAGTTGAAATTGAGATACGCCCTTACATCAGAGAAGCGACAATTTCTAAGGAGCAGGAAACGTCCTCCAGAAGCGGCGGAGTGCTAGAGAATTGTTTTACAGAATATACAAGTCAATGCAAATCGTTGCTGTGTATAATACGGGGTTATTCAAAAGTCACGTACCACTGGCCAATAGGGGAGGGGGGAGGCATTTGAAATTTTTTAGTTGCCCTACGCCCCCCTCCCCCCGAGGGGATCAAAAACTGGAAAGTACCTAAAAAAGTTCCCCCTCGATATGAGGAAAAACGTCTTAAACGGCAAATCGATATCATAATTAGAACTAAAGTTGCGGCCAGTGGTGCGTGACTTTTGAATAACACTGTATCAAGACACGGGGTGGACCTTCGTAATTGGGAGAAACGTTGTATGGACATTTGAGTGTTGCCCGATTTCCTCTCGAAAAAAATTCATCATTGCGGAAAGCTTTGAGTATTCTTCCTTAAAATTTTCAAACACTTTAGGTGAAATCACGAACGGAATTCTCGGAAAAATCGAAAGGAAAATAGCATCGAAATTTCCCGAAAATGAGTTATTTTTTAAAATAAATTTCGCAACGTCCGAGGGCTCATGCGGCGTCCTCCTTAGTACGACAGTAGAGAAGTCCGCATCTCTCGTGTCTTATAATATTTATTATTATGTGGTTATCATCATGAAGAAGTGCATTTCATTCTAAGATGTGTACGGAAAAGCACTGATGATTTCCCAGTATTGAATATTTCATAAAACAGTGCATCATTCTCGATGAGTTGGATTGCATATCTTGATGCATACTTGAAATCATTATAGTATATCAATTTTTCAAGAACTGCATTTATACTTCTTGTCTCCCAAACCCCCATTCTCATACCTCGTGAAAAAAACTTAAAGCCCAAAGCAGCTTTCACTTGCACATTCACTAATGTTTTTTACTGTTAAAAAATTCCGTTTTGAATACATTATTGTAACCACACCAGCCGCTCAATTGTCCAAAATGTCAGGAATTGCAGTTTTATTTTTTTTTTATTTTTTTAAAAAGAAAAAATTTAATTTAGATTTTCCGGAAACAGAAAAATCTGATTTGATCTCCGGATCTAATTAGTAAAGAAAGAGCGAGAAATACGCCCTGTGAGATTCATTCATGCACCGCTCTCTTACGTGCAAAATCACTACATGATGTTTTATGGTGAAGGTGGTGATGGATTATCTAAAACAGGTTTTTTAAGCTTAAAGACTTATTGTTAGTCATCAGCAGTAGCGAGCAGGTTTTATGATAATTATCATAATCATTAGTTTCTGGCCTACTTTAAGTTACATTGTATCAATATTCAAACATTTATCAATAGGTGTTACACGTTTCCAGCAATATACTTATACTTATTCTTTGCTCCTTTTTGTAAAATGCTGTTTCGGTGTATCTATAATGCACCTGTCTGCCATGCTGGTTCCCCTCAGTTTCGCACTTAGACCGTTTCAGAACATTTTGTCAACGATTTTTTGTCCACGCACCTCTTTTGTCCAGTAGTTTACGTCCAAACGTAAAATAAGCAACAATGACTTGGTCCAAGCGTTATATTTTAGTGTTAGTTATATTTATGTAAAATTGTATTGACAATAAGGAATTGAGAGAGAAGGAGGTGTTGTTATAGTTGCTCATTTTCTCAATGAAATGTTACTTTCTCCTTTTGATTCATCTTTTTAAATTGTCATTGGTGAATTATGGCTATTTATGGTTATTTTATGGTTTTATCTCTATCCTTAAAATATTCGATGTACAATATATACCTTACACATGTATAGGTACTTTTTTTATTTTTTTAATTTTTTTTTTTACGAAATTATTACTTCATTTTGTAAACATTTATATTTTTAAAACGTGACAAATATTTGTAAAACATTTTCCAAGCGATGGCTTCGATATTGATCTCAATGAGCTGCAGTTGTGCCGAAAGGAACTGCAAAAATGAATAAAAGAGGAAAAAAACCAAGAAGCACGCAATCTTTAGTTTTAACCCACTTGTGCATCGATCTTTTAGAGTAAAAAATGTCAAATTTTGAGCGTTTGGTTGCTCGTACACCTCGCTGCAGCACAGTAAAAGTACAAAATGTAAAATGAAAAATCAATGTGCCTTGGAAATCACTTTTGACACGGAACCACCAATATTTAAAAAACACATTATATTATTACTCTCCTTTGATAAATTGATACTTATTTTTTTTTCATCAATTTAAATGTGAATAATGAATGCAGAGTGTGCAAACATTTCAAAATCATCAGTTAAAAACCGCTGACTATGCGAGTATAAATATTAAAGCCTAACAGAGCGGAGCGGCGTGCTGCCAGCGTGAGAGGCTCACTGGCGCCTACAAACCTAAGTCGATACTTCTCGCATTGCACCATGCTTGAAGTATCCACTTAGGTTTGTAGGCTACAATGCGCGTCTCGCGCTGACCCCCCGCCCGCCGTGCGGCGGCGCCTGAAGCAACTATTTCACGACAGAGGTGTTGCACAGTATTATACGAAATTGCACGTATTAAGAATGACAGGCAACCTTTAAAAGTACAGATGTTTCCTCGCAAAATAAATCAAGATACTTATCGTACACAGAAAAAATCTAAGAGCCTTTAGCTAAGGCAAAGCAAGAGGTTCATCCGGTTCAGGTATGACAAGGTGGGAATATTCTTGAAAAATAATTAATTCCTGTCTCTACACTTTTTGGTGTAGAGAGTTTTAGTGAATTTTGTCGAATGGAATTGACACTCCCTTATTTTCACCAAAAATCTCAATTACATATTATTCTCCGTTGGATCAAACACCCCCCCCCCCAAAAAAAAAAAAACAAACCCTTATTCTTCCAAGACATTATACATTTTCATCCAAAAACTTTGTGAGCAATAGTCGTTTGTAATTACATGTGGGCCAATTAACTTTGGGTCTCAACTGGCACGTGGACCAAAACCCCCGTGCCGAAAAAACGCGCGGACGTAAATTACTGGAAAAAACAGGTGCGCGGACAAAAAATCGTTGACGAAATGTCCTATAACCTTTTAGACGTATTAAGAGTACGTTATCTTGGGAGTCTTTGACCATAAATTTTCGAAGGCACAGACATTCATCCCCGCACAGAATCATGAAAGGCCCAGCACTATTTTCATCACATTTTGCAATAGGGCACCACTGTTTCTGGCCTATTTTAGAAACAACATACATGCCATTTGCTTCCCTTCGCAGATATGTGATTTTATGAGAGAGCCAGAGGCAGTGGTTCTTCATTTCAGGATGTAATTCATTTTATAATCTTGTCATCAAAAATTATGCGGATACAATTTTTAGGTATCTTACCTCCAACAAAATAAGTAAAATCCCAGTTTTTCGATCAAATAGCACGTATTTGATACATCGTTCCCTCTAATTATGATAGTCTTTCGAATTAACAGCTTCATCATGGTCAAGAACTCGTTTAGAATGTTTACAATTTTTCCCGTCCAGAAAAATCGGGGCGCATCTTGTGTTGACAACACGCGACACCCGATATAAACGGGTGGCCGATGACCACACGCTAACTCATGACCCCCTTTCTCCGAGCTTGTCAATGTCTAGGTGAGACCCGGAGTGGATTACCTAGTTAAAACCAACGTTGTCACATTCGCTCACAGAAATGTTTAATTAAGCTCTATGTAAAAGGAGGGCAGGCGGGAAGCTCTGCTAAGTAGAAACAATGGTCAGCGGTGTTTTGAAGTAAAAATTATAGAACGTTTTGAAATCAGTAAGCTTTGTAAAGGGAAATAGATTGAAATGATCAGACGATGAAGGACCTTATATGAGGGGCTTGGAGGACAAGGCGCATAAGTTAGTGTTTGAAAAAATTGAGATATTAATGATTTCAAGTGAAACTAGTCTCAATGCATAATCTGAGAAAAATTAGCTCCCAAATCTCAATATTTAAGCATCAACAATTCAGTTTGAACTTTCAATTCGCCATAAGAATCTATATAATTTCGAAACTTTAAATACTTATTTCTCAAAATAGCAAAAACTCCACTTATGCGCCTTGCCCTTCAAGCCGCTCAAATGCGAGGGCGAATTTTCTTGTACGAACGTAACAAAAATCACGAAAACAAGTGAATTTTTACAAACTCTTAGAAAACTTAGAGGCGTTGAAAAGTGCTGAGATTTAAAAATACGATCATTAAAATTTTGACGAGACAAATCCGAGAAAATTAGACTACAAAGATGTTGAGCTAAGTAAATTGTAAGGAAATAAGTAAATTCCCCAAGATTTATGATACGAAGCATCAAACGAATATGATAGCCTGTCTCTTCAAATGTGAAGCGATTTTTCTCTATCTTTTTGATGAGCTACCTATTGTTCTATTGAATCACTATAAATATAACCTTAAAACTGCGAAAAAGCGTATCTCGTTTCAAAATTTCCGTTCCTATTTTATTTAATTATAGAGGAGTAAATCAACACTATTGCTCAAATTTTACACAGAATATCCTAAATATAGGAAAAAAAAATGAATGAATTTTTTAAGGAATAACCTTAATAATTCTACTTAAAAAATGATTTATTATCTGCGGCGTCGGTAACCAAGATACGTGATTTTACAGTACCACCGTCGAGTTTTTTTTTGTTATTGGCGGTTGTAAGCAAAAATCGTCCGCTATCAGCTGAGCATTTTGAATGTAAGTTTTTTTATGGGATTTGAGAGTTATGACTCACTATCACAATCATGCTCTTGCTTGCACACAATTATTGTTATAGCGAGTTATAATGTGCGAAACGACTTACGGTCACTTTGATGGGGCTGTTAATGGCTTTCAGCTCCTGGCGAAGGCCTTCGGTCAAAGCTCTGACAGCGTGCTTCGTTGCACAATAAAAGTGGAGAGGCGCAAAGTTCGGGACGTGGTGGGCTGTGAAGCTGCAAAAAATAAGGCAATAAAAAGTGAAGAATGGTTATTGCTCGACAAAAATACATGCACAGTCAATCTAAATCATTTTCCAACAGAATGAATCTAACTCTACGTTAATTTTGCCGTGTTAAGGAAGAACGCCGTATGAACCTTCGTCAGTTGCCAAATTTCCTTTGATCAAAAACAAATTTTTAGGAAAACTTGTGAATATTTTCTATTCAATTTTTCAGGGAATTTTCTTCCTCATTAGATCTATACCATCTAAAAATTTCAAGAAAAAATTATCATGACTCTGCTCAAAAATGAAAATTTTACTGGAGGCAATTTGGCAACTTTTGAGTGTTGACACGGCGTTTTTTCTTAGCATGGCAGAATAGGTCCTGGCTTCGAATCCTGGTAGTGGCGCTAAATTTACACGGAAACAACGAGTAGATCTGCAGGAACAGATTCTATTCAATCATAGTTCCTGGAAAGTTGACAAGCCTAGAGCACAAATGTGCCAAAAATTTCTTGATGCCTCCAGACAATAAATATAGTCAAGAAATGAATGTAAGTCCTGACGGAATATACGCTAACAAACCAGCAGAAAAAAAAGAAAAGAAAGAAACCAGAATGAATGTTTTGAAAAGCACGTTAGTGAATTCGTACAAAATTCAGTCCAAAACTGATGTCTGAATAAGAAAAACCTCACCCGAGCACTTGCCTCTCAAAAGAGTTATGCTGTTTGGTGCAACACTAGTTACGACCAATCAGGAAGGCTGAGGAATTGTTTCAAACTATTTGCCTCTAATTTTTTATTTGCTTCCAAGGAACTGTTTCTTTGCCCGCAATTTGTGTAGACTAAGAGTGTCCTAATTCCTATTGTGTGGGGAACGAAGCTTGAGTGCCTTCAATTTTGCCGTATGCACCACGCACATCCGCAAAGCGCGAACAGTCGCATCAACTCCAGTGGCGTGGCGTGAATTGCGTTGTATCGATTGTTATGCCATTTAAACCAATGGTAAAGAATCGATTATTAAGGTGTTCGCTACGAACACTCTGTTTAGGTAAGTCACGCTGTTTCGTAGGTCTAAATTTCATAACAATCGATTTATCGCAAAGTACGCCGCGCCACTGCATCAAGGCGCTAATATCACAGCGCACAGCCACACTGCGCCCGCCGCGCCGACCGAGACAGTAAGAACTTCTCGTTCTCCTCCTGATTTTCGATGCATCGGTCGAGGACATGATTACGATTAATGTGTATGAAATTTAAGTTTAGAGCGACAGTATTTGGAGGGGATATCACACTTCTTTTGAAACTTCTTACAGAAATCATTTTTGAAGATTGCCCGAACTATACGTGCTTTTCTGGTGAGGGCTTTTGAATTGTTCTTTTACGCCACATTTGACTGTACATTAAAAAATCGATAGGCATCGATACCGGCCGAAAATTACATAATAGCATCGAGTTATGGGATGCAGTCATCGTTTGATGTGCGAGGCTAGAGTTAATTATTTTTTATGTGCAATCGCAATAGACCTCAAGACAAGGTGCAAGAAGCATTAGAATTGGTTTCTTTATCAAAATTTTACGTAGAACACGATTTGGTCCACGAAAATTACTGAAAATATCTCCCAAAAAAAAAGACATTAATTTTTTTTAATGCATAAATTTATACTTCTTGCTCATAGAGTGAATAAAAATCTGAGTGAAATCGCTCACACCAAAAGTTACCGTGACGATCAGATTTGGGGCGGGAATTGATTTCAGTAATTTTGTTGTTTTTTTTTTTTTGGAGCAAATTATATTTTACACGAAACTTTGAACAGCAGCATTCATCAGAATGCTTAACTTTGGACCTTGTCTTGTGGTCCATCCCTGTGCTGAAAAAAAAGAAAACTTATTGAGAAATTCTTTACAGACATGTGGCAACAAGAGTAAACTTGATCTCACCCCTTATGGAGATGATCTTTCCGAATCAAAATGCCTTCTCTCTACTGCGCACAAATAAAACGGGTTAATCCACCTCGTTATGGGTCCGGTGTTTACTCAGCCCGGTCCATTCATATACGTGATCGATGGAAATTAATTCGTTTATGGGGTATCTTGGTGTCCATTGTTGTCGTGACGAATAAAAAATACACCTAATTATATTAACTTTTAATCGCATAATATTTAATTATATGAATCAGTGAGATGCAGTAAGTCGAATCGTGTCTCTTGTGCTAGTTTTTTCGGAAGAAGGGACCCTAGAAATATTTCAGAAAAGCGTAGTTTTTCCAAGTTTAATCAGTACATTGATATTCAGTTTCCTACATGAAAAAAAAAAACAGTTTTGAAAAATGATTGTGACAAAGAAGTCGGAAAATCATTTTAATCCTGATATTTTGAACGGATCAAAAGGATTTTAAAAGAAAATATTAATTAAATTAGCCGGCTTTGGTATCAGTTTATAGAGAAGGCTGATATGGCAACGATTTTCATTCAATTGTTCGGCCAAGGGCCAAGTACGGAGCTGAAATCACCCTCAAGATTTTATCATTTTCCCAATAAAATGAGGCAGTAGAGTAAACAGAGAAAATGAAACTCACGTTGGTATAACCTTATTAAAGCCTTAAATTTTGTAGACTGTGCTGAAGATGTTTGTTAATGTTGGATCTGCTCATACGATACCATTGGAGAATGGAAGCCTCATGCATTAATTTTCAGAATATTGTTGCCAATAATATTATCTTCTGCATAATGTAATTGGCAAGAGACTTATTTTGGTGATTTTGGTGAGATAGCCTCTTTAGATTAAATATTTCTTTGACTGATTTTAGATTGTCACCATCAACTTGGTCTCAGACACTTTCAATGATTGCGTCGTACTCTTAGTTAAATTTTGAGAATTTGCTCTTTCTTCTCTTTACATAATTTTATCGACTTAATCCCTCAAAAACCCTACGAACTTCAAAGAGCATTGGGTTCGATGCATATCCATGCTTTAAGCTTTCAACTTTGCAGGTATCATGGCCGATAAGAAGCTGTTCTCGCAGATTTACTCGTCTATTCTGGGAGAGTTTTGTAGTTTCCCTGGCGGAGGCACGTAACTCCATTTCAAGGTTGCAAAATTGCCCTAAAATATTCAATTTTTTTTTACAAAGATGAACCGGCGTAATTTTTCTTCAATATTTGTCTAATTTTTGCACGAGATCCGAGGAAAAAGCAGAAAAATTTCGCGTTAGAAATTCCCTAAATTCTTCCGGTAAAAGTGCAATCGATGCGGGGAAATTTGGCAACATTGAACTGTAGTTACGTTCTTTCGTGGGAGGAACGACGATTTTTCGCCTCCACCGGGATTCAAATGCGAGACCCACTGATCTAGAGTCAAACTTGCTGACCACTAAGCCAACCTGGTCGGGGGGAAAAAATTGTACAACCGTGCTTGAATTCTGACCCTGTCCGATGGTCTTTCGACCCAATTTTCCCGGAGTGTCTGTGTCAGAGAAAGGTGAGAAGCTACATGCATGGATTCGAACGATTGTTGCGTCTCCATTGTTGCAAAATCGTGCCGTTGAAGTAGCCATCCCGTACCGAAAAAAATCGGGCTTTTAAAGGATGGCAACCCGGGGATCGTTGCGTAAAGACCCGTTTTTGCCGTGCGCCGCGGAGAACCGATATTTATGACGACCTTGAGACGCGACTACCCATAAACGTGAAATGCTGCATTTCTCCCTAAAATAGTCACGCCCGAAAAAAGCCCGCACACGCGAAGACTCATCGCTAATTAAGAGGCGCCGCACAATAGAGCGAAAACATACATGAAAGAAATCAGACAAAATTTTGAAACTTTATGATCTCACATCTTCAAAAATACGAAGCGGAAAAGTTTGAAAGGGTTCCATTGGTTTTTTAATGGAATCTCCCTTCAAAATACTGTTGAAAATTGAGATTGTGACGAAGTATACATAAAAATTCGTTTTTTCAGTTAAAAATTTTAGGTCCGACCTCTTCCAATGGCTCGTTCCTTTGTGCGCCGGCCGGTCGCGGCATTCGCTACTGCACAGAAAATATGATGTGCTGACATAGCATTTTGGATGTCAAAATGGACATCAAGTTAAGCATTCTGATATATGTTTCTCAACCAAAATTTCACGTAGAACACGATTCCGGCGACGAAAATTACTGAAATCTACTCGTACCCAAGATATTTAATATTTTTTGACGCGCGAATTCAGATCTCCCGCTCATGAAAACACAATAGTCTATGTGAGTCAAATTGCACACTAAACTTTACCATGGCAATCTTTGCTTTATAAAAATCTGGCAACCTCAATCTTGATGCTTTGACTCAGTTATAGCAGGGTAGAGAAGGAACAGTGCTCGACTAAGAATGCCTGCCAAAACTGTTGTGAGGCGCGATTTGACCCACGTAGAGAATTGCGTTTCCTCCGATCGAGCATGTCAAAATTCCCGTGACCAGTGTTAAATAAAAACGTTGATATCTTATTTAGGAGGTAATTTCAGAAATTTTTGATGCAACAATCAAGTTTTACGTGAAATTCTATTTCAGAAACATGAAGCAGAATGCTTAATTATTCGTACCTGGTCTACTTGTGTAGTGCGCCCGCGCGTTCTCCAAGTAGCGCCTTCGACAGGGGAGAAATACTTCCAACGTTACACCATTTTACACATGCTAACTGATGTGCAAATTGCCTACTCTGCACTAGCCGGCGGGTACACTGTGTTATACAGCTTATTGTTAAACCTTCACCCGCAATCCACGGATTGGGTTCATTCGTGCCTTGTCTAGTAGTCCGTTGCGTCTGGTGAAACCTAGATGCTGATTTAGCCACCCTTATAGTTAATTTTACATGCTCGGAATCTGAAGCCCCTGCTTCATGACACACTACTAAAAAATTCGTGAATAATGTTAACATTGTAGAGCCTGCAACTTTAGACTGCGACAGAAGATCCACCATTTTGCACTGGAAAAAAAATCCGGCGGTGGAAGCCGTACTCACGGGCTATATAGACATACCTTCCGTGTTCCGGGCTCAGAGGTCGAAAAATCCGGGCGCAGCACCTAGAGCAGTCAAAGCTACGGCCTCAACACTCGAAACGGACGGTATGCCTATCTATTCCGTAACTTTTTTTTCCAGTGTGATCCTCCTATTTACTTTACATTTCAAAGTGACGTCAGAATGTCTTCGTCGCAGTCTAGAGGTGCGTAAACTTATTTGACGTGGACACTGAAACATTTCAACGATGACTCTATACGAAAACACGAATCTAGATTGCGAAATCTCGAAATTGTCACTCTATTTTAGTTTTTTGTACACTGTCAAAAATCGAGGAGTGAAATAGGTGCCGGAGTCTATATAGCACCCAAAAACCCCGAGTGATATGAATGCGAAGTAAAATTAGCACTGTAAAAGCGTTGGACACTCCGCAGAAAGAGTATAGATTCCGCTTCGTAATAGTGTAAGTCACTCCAAAACGAGATTTGATTCCGCTCCGCATTAATATGACTGGAGGTTTTTGGTCGCTGTATATAGACCCCGACACCAAGTCTGCCGTGATAGCGCAGAGAGCCGTAAGTGCAAAATGTTCGAAATCGTGTTTTCTTCAAAATTCGTCTAAACTCTTTTAGATGAAATTACTGAGACAGCTAAAACAGAAAAATTCATCCTAATTTAATGAAAACAAGACGTATGAGAAAGCCGTAAGTGCACAAAAAATAACGTAGTTTTTTTCGAGACAGCCGCAGGTGCATGAGAGCCAATGAAAACAGCGCTTTCAAGAGGAATGCGGCCCTCATCTGCCGATTTTGAACCTGAAAATGTGTTTGTTGTGTGTCCAACACGCTACCACAAAAGCGCGCAGAAGATAGCATTTACGGATGTCTTGCCTAACAATAACCTAGCATGAAAATGAAAAATACCCTTTTTATATAATGGAAATAAAATCAGTCGATTTTTAATCATCCAGACGATTTCTAGGAGTCTTCCGGACGATTAGTGGCAATTTGACAAAGAACGGAGGCTTCTTTCAATAAAATGTTCTTGTCAGAAGCTTCTGAGCCCGTTTTCTCAAAACTTCATTTTTGCACTTACGGCTCTCTTCGCTATCACGGCAGAAGTTTCACTCTAAAATTTACTACAGTGTAGCTTCTTTGGTAGAGGCTCACTTTTATTTTCAAAAGGTGTAAAAATATTGGGTGGTCTTGACGAAAGAGCTCATTGATTTCAAAAACACCCACAGATCGGTGCTAATTGAGAACGCGCGTTTGACTAACACCGCGCGTAGCTATTTTTATCAATCCTCAAAGAAGTTTTTTTGTTCTTGTCGTTCAATGCACATGATTTGACTGAAGTGGATACAGCAAACAACTGAGAAAGCATTTTTTAAGGCCAACATTCGATCTTTATCAAATTGCAGCCTTTTCATTCCTAAATGCTGCTTACCTGCTTAGGTGAATGATATGTCCATCTACGTTTCGTTTCCTCATGGAATCGATAGCTTCTTTGGTACAAATGCTCAGTGCGATTACATTCACATCCATCAGTTTCTTCCATTCGTCGACAGTACCATCTGAAACATTTATTTACAAGTTTACTTTGCGGGATTCGCTTTTAATAATGTGCATACGCTGGTTAAAAATCTTGAAAGAAAATGGAGAGCAAAATTTACTCTTGATGCAAGAGTATCAACGTTCTAACTCCTTGATGCAACTATTTCTGCTCAAAGGATGGCCGCGTTGCATACGCTCAAAAACTAAGGCGTTTTGGTTTTTTTTGCCGTGAATCGTAAATCCAGGGCCGGATTAAGGGGGTGACCACATGGGCCGCGGCCCATGCCAGCAAAATGTAGGAGGCGGCAAATTTTGCAATCTTTTTAAATGTAGGTATCAAAGAAAGAGAGAGAAAAAATCGGATTCAGAAAATAAATTACAAACGAGAAAAGACGACAAAATCTCTCATTTCCTCGGAGTAAAATATAGTAATTTCTAATTTTGTCGTCTCTCGGTCATACATGAGACAACACCTTCAATTAGTCGAGTTAAGAGAGAAACCAAACACGCAATTTGACCTGGAACGGGGCGGCGCGGCGGCCAGCATGAAACGCATAGCGCCTACAAGACTGCATGAATACTTCACGCATTGCGCCAAACAGTGTGGTCAGCAGCAGTCGGCTGGAAACGCATGGCGCCTGCAAGACTGCATGAAGACTTCACGCATTGCGCCAAACAGTGTGGTCAGCAGCGGTCGGCGTGAAACGCATAGCGCCTACAAGACTGCATGAATACTTCACGCATTGCGCCAACACAGTGCGGTCAGCGCGGCGGTGGAAGTTAAATTTTTTTACCACATTTAGGTTTGTTCTTTCATAATTTTAAATCTCATAAATTTCCACTCCTAATCCATTCTTTTGAACGATGCGAGACTGTAAAAACCGATCTAACGATGGATAGAAAATTTCGTCGTCTCCCGGACGAAGGAAAGTGATTCTATTCTAAGGTTACCAATAATCGACTCAATAATGTACATATGTACTTGTGCTATTTGTATCCAATTTTTTTTTTAAAATTTTGCGCGAAATATGAGGAAAAATCAGTAAAATTTTCCGTTAGAAATTTTTAAGGTTGTTTTGGTAAATATGCAATTCGTGAAAGGAACACTGGTAACAAAAACCTCTTGGTTCAAGCGTGCAGTTTTTTGTCGCCGGATTTAAAAGTCTGGACTCTTATTTCAATGCAAAATCCGCTTGAATCAATGCAAAATCCGCTTGAATCAATGCATAATCCGTTTGAAACAAGAGTTCAAGACTCTTAAATCCGGCGACAAGAAACTGCACTCTTAAGTCAATGCACCGCGGCATTGGTCCAAGAGGTTTTTTTTTACCAGTGTAAGGCAACACCGAAATATAGTTACGTTCTTTCGTGGGGGGAAAGACGATTCAATGATGAGACTGCGGGATTTTAAAATAAGTCGTCACCTTCCGACGAAAGTATCACGAGCGCCAAATTTCCGCCGCCATTTTATTGTTTTTTAGAGACATTTTTGGTTGAATCTGTTTGAAAATGTCGCTGAATTTTATCGACAGCACCAAGAAAATTCAGTAAAATTATATCGGACAGCTTTGTCGAACAATTTCTCAGTAAAATAATAGAATGGCGGCGGAAATTTTAAAACGTCGCATGGCGCTTGTGATACTTTGGTCAGAGCTGGTTTGGACGAAGTGGTCTTGAATGTTATAACTGCATTCTAGGATTTTTAAAAGTGAACCGTATTCAAATTGTCATTGATATAGCCGTAATTTATTAAGTCATAGCTACGAGATGCTGCAATGTAATGTCAGTGCAGCGAGTGACCTCCGTTTATCCGGAATAAGCAAGAGCCGTGCGCCGAGGCTGATTAAGTTCACTAGCGAAATATCCGGAATCCGGATAGCTGGATGTCTCTGGATTCGGTCTTCCGGAGTTGAGAAAGGAGGAGCCTGGATCGTTGCACTGCACACGGTGTATAATTATCGGTGGAAGTGGAAATATGATTCGGTGCAATTGCAACCGCAAGCGTTCATTTTCTGCACGGTTTACGTTGCATTGAGAAGTTCAAGTTTTGATCGTTAATTTTGCATATATCGTAATTTTCAAGGCAAAATAACGTAACTTCTTAACACGCTCCAAAATTTTTATTCTTAAATTTCATTTTTATTATGGACAGGAAGTTGGTAACGTAGCCAATGTGCGTTGAAAATCAGCATGAAGCTCACGGAAAAAAATAAATTGCCGATTCAACAATTCAATTGCTCAAAACAGTGAGTGCAATGTTTCAACATAGATTTTACATCAAAAAATTGCTACTCTAACCACATTATAAACTAATTTAACCACGGGGGTGGTTAAAGTAGCATTTTTTTGTTGTAAAATTTACATCGAAACATTGCACTCACTGTTTTTAGCAATTGAATTGTTGAATCAGCAATTTAATTTTTTTCCGTGCTGAAAATCTCAATATAGAGGCAAAAGATTGAGATTTCCAGTTTAATGCTGATTTTTAACGCACATTGACTACTCTACCAACTTTCTGTCTAAACGACTCGTGCGTCTTCTGCAATCAGTTTGTAAATCATTTTCATTGAGAGACTGTCGAGCGTTGTAATTCCAAATTTCATTGATTTTCTTCGGGACATACGGAAAAATCAAACAAATTTTCGACAAAAATTGAATTGTCATACGACTCTTGTAAAAAATTCAATGGAGAATTTGCATGCACATGTTTTATTGCTTCATCTGAAAATGCTTAAAAAGCTAATTTCACAGTAGTTTTTATTCATTTCTTCTGATATGGGAAATGGTATAAAAATAAATTTAAAGGTGAGAAAATGCACCGCCTAGTGACGTCATCTGGCGGCATTTCTCATTTAAACACTTGTATTTTAGCAGAGTAGATCATTTTGTCATATCTTCTCCAATAATTCTTCAATTTATGAACCAAGGGTATCCTCGTGATCAGTTCACTCAATGGTTCCCATTTAAACACAAAATTCATCAAACTTCAGACAATTGCAAATTCTCTATTATTTAAGTTAATTTTACAACCTCGGAATAGAGTTACGTTCCCTCGTCCGCGAAATTTCTTTGCTATCGCGTAACGTAGTGAAGAGGACCATGCGCTAATATTTTTGGGGAATGAGGTGACCATAATCAGGTGGCTATCAGGTATAATTTTTGATGCATAACGCTGCAGATGAAGGCACTAACCGATTATTTCCGAACAGAATCAAAGCGCCCAGTTAATTGCCAAACGAAAGGTCCTAATATTCCCAAAACTAGTGCAAGGGTAATGAGCGGCACCGATAATTCGTGTGATTGCCGCAATATGAGATCCCGTGACCTTGAGACCTTGAACCTTGGTTCTGAACTAATAATTATAGTGATGTACGGATTCAACTTCTTGCTATCTCTGAACCCTTCTAATTATTATTCCGACGATGAATGTTTGAGTGCCACGTTAGGATGCACGCTTTGGACGATATTAGAATGTGAAATGTGCAAGGTCCTTGTAAGTAATTTAACAGGAGTCAATTTTTTTCGAACGTTCAACTTCAGTCGCCTCAATTGGATGATAAGTTTGTCACCTTTTTCCGAAGGAACGTAGGTGAACTGACAAGGGTGCTTGAGTTTTAAAAGTTGAGATTTTGACAGAGATTTTTTCTGAAACTACTTATTGAAAAATTACTTGGATAATATAAGAATTGGACATCATCGAGCAGTGGAAAAGTAAAGAGAACTTGAAATTGTGTGTGTGGGGTTCTGCGCTCTGATTATTGAAATTCATAGACTAATCGATAGACAAATAAGACAAAAGGGAAATAAAGCCATCCTATTGGTGGAAGCGGGTGGTTGCAATGGGCAAAGGACTAACTAACGGCAACGGTGAAAGACCCTTTTAGTCCATCATTTTCCCCCTTAACCACCCGTTTCAATCAATAGGATTCCTCCATGTTCCCTACGTTTTCTTTGTCTATCGCTTTGTCTGTATCAATTTCAATAATCAACTACTTCATCAAGAGGAGTAGGGGAGTCTGTGGGGCACAGAAAGGCCCCGGGGCAAATCCAGAAGGGTTTAAGGAAAATCGTTCAGAACCAAAGAGGGGCCAGGGAAAATTTAAAAATTGAGACATCTCAGGGGCAATGTTAAGTTGTTCTCACCAAAAAATTGACAACCATAAACTTTTAGACATGCGATGGCAACGTCATGCTCTTTATTTGAAAAATTCCTTATATTTTTTAGAAGGGTAGACGTTGAATTTTGAAGGACTATGCCCCACGTGCCCTATTAGTTCCACCTATCATTCTTCTTTGTTTGATGATAACAAAAATAGAGCAAAAAAGAAGGTTATGCAACACCGGATATAGTAAGCAAGCCTGATCCTGGATTGAATTCGTCCATCCTGTCTCTAATCTCATTACTGAACTTAGAATCCAAGTGATTTGACAGATCTCCTAAGCTGTCATGCTAAGGAAAAACACCGTATGAACATTCGAGAGTTGTCAAATTTCGCAGGATGAAACATGTATTCTTGAAGACAGTTATGCACATTCTCATGAAATTTTGAGGTAACTTCGATTAAATTTAAAATATATTTTCCAAAAAATTTGAAAAAAAAAATTTGATACCCATAATGTGTAACCACGCACTTCCATTTGCGACTTAGCAGATTTCCTGTCATAGTTCATTTATTCTTTGGAAAATAAGTCAACCTAAATTACTGAAACCTTCCTTGATTTTCCTTATCTATTTGCAGAATATTCTGTATAAATTTCGAGCCATAAAGTTAGTTTGTTTCTCTTCGAAAAGATAAAATGGAAGCGGAACTTTTGAAACACCACGATGGAGATACGTCATAGGCGGATACAGATACCTCAACCGGGGGGGGGGGGCGAGAGGGGGTCCGAGGGCCTCCCCCAAAAAACTTTTGTGGCACCTTTTATGCAATTTGAGTCAATTGAGTCATGAATAATAATTACCAAGCGTTTCCCCGTATTCAATACGTTCCTTATTCCTCCTTTCTTCCTTCTCTCGTTCCTCTTTTTTTCCGGCAAGCGGGGAAGCCCCCCGCCCCTCATGCCCCCTCCCAAAATCCGCTTACAAGATATGTTGTTTAATCTTTTGGTTACCGATATTTACAAATTTTCCAGTTACTGCGTTTTTATTGAACGAAATATGGCAACGTCTGAAGGCTCATACGGCGTTCTTTCTTAGACACGGTGGTATGCTCGGAGGGCTTTGCCCCCCAAAGCTGAAACCAGTTTTCAACAACCCCGCCCCTCATCCCCCCCCCTAAATCCGCCAACGAGATACGTGGTTCCGCTTTTTGGTCACCGATATTTACAAATTTTCCAGTTAATGCGTTTTTATTGAACGCAATATGGCAACGTCTGAAGGTTCATACGGCGTTTCTTAGACACGGCGGTATGCTTGGAGGGCTTTGCCCCCAAAGCTGAAACCAGTTTCCAACCAGCGGGATTGACATCGACCGAAGAAGCAGAGGGTCCCCGCTCCCTTTTCGCGAGAGGAGCGACATTGTTTACATTCTGCGACGCAGCGGACCGGTCGTCGTCGGCGTCGCGACGCGGCGAGGCAGCGCGGGAACCGGTGTTACATCACCCGAGATGAGTTACAAAACACTTTGTTTTAACAACCAGAACCCGAACCGGTCCCCGGTTGCGGACCGGACCGCTGCTGTCCACCGCGGACTTAACATTGGTCCGACATTCAAGGTACTCTCCCTTGACCGGCCAACCACCTTGCGTCATGTCACTCGCCAATATCAATGTTTGCTGCCGTCGCACAATGGAAAAATCAATTGCACTGAAAAAAAACTCTCGGCGTTTTTACCAAGGTCCGTTGGTACCTTTACCATCTAACTCTTTTCACCAATTATTGGTAATTTTACCAAGACAGACTAGTAAGCTCACCTAAAAACCGGTATTTTTACTGTTTTTTCAGGTGAGAATACCACTTTTATTGGTAATCAATTCCCGGTCATTTTGCCTTTTTTTATCTCGGTAATTCTAACATTGTCGATAAAAAATATTTGCGTTTTTACCAAGGTCCAGTAAAATTACCGAGAAAGTTCAATAATTTTACCGAGATTTCTCGGTAAAATTACCAATTCCATAAATGGTAATTTTACCAAGAAAAAACTGGGATCAAACAGAACCCTGAATTCTTGGTAATTTTACCCTTTTTTTAGTAAATATACTGAGATTTTTTTTTCAGTGTGGGGAAGTCGAATACAATTTACGAACTTCACTTTAAAGGCTTATAACTCCGCTATTACAAAATGTCAATGTCTTAGAAATGGTCCCATTAGTTTTCTCGCAGAATTTTCCTCAAGTTGCACCCCTCAAAATTGAAAATTTGACAAATAAAAATCTAAATTTGCAGTGTTAGTATGACACTTTAAGTCCGACTGCTCCTATTGACTCTATATCTATGTGCGTCGCGGCACTGTGCGCCAAGCATGGTGAAGGGACAAAAAACGGGTGAATCGATTTGCAATAATTTGAGATTCCTGATTGGTTTTTTATTTTAAAATATGACGTCATACGATACACGATCATTACCAAGATGACGTAATCAAAGAAATTTCCCGATGGCGTCATGTTGGCTTTTCCGATTACGTTTTCTGGTTGGCTATAATTCGTCGACTAATTAGAACAGAGAGAACGCCAAAATTTGGCAAAGCTCATATTTTATAGTGTAGCAAGATCAAAAAGAAAAAGAAAAAGTTCCTGAGAAAAAGTCTATCATAAGCGGAATTTAACTGAAAAATTCAGTTTAAACACAACCCAAACCGTGGAGGGGGAAAAAATCGGAATTCTTTGACAGAAAACCCTCTCTTCTTTTCTAACAAATGTTTTTGTTCATGTTTGTGCCCCTTTAAAGCTTTTTTACTCTGAATCGAATTTTTGTACTTTAAGTATGGTTGATTAGATTTTTACATTTTTTGCTCCCCCCCCCCCGCCCCCGAATCTACGTTTTTTTAATACAAACTTCGAAATGAATGCAGCGCATAGTCATATAAAGTGACATGTATTCATGGATTCTTCATTTTCTGGAGCAAATTAGGCATACTTTCCATTTTTATTTTGATATGAAAAACCAGGGGCTATGATGTAATGACGGCAATGAGAACTATTTTACGTAACCCGTTGTTAATTTTTGACCGACTTCAGCTCATAATCATGCCCCTTATTAGTCAATGGTTTTTCCAAAAAAATATCAACACAAACCACTGTGCGCATTGATCCGACCAAACTGGTTTTTTTATCAATGAAATAATGGAGTTTTTATGCATTTTCTGTGCGTATTCACTGCATTTTGTGTGGTTCTTCATCAATTATAGGTCGAACTAGAACGTGTTTAATTAAAACCCACTCTACTTATCCTGTGGAACGCATCGAAGCAGAAGCCCGATATAAAATCAATTTTAAAGGCATTAACGCAGCGCATCGTCGACGCAGTCATAAAAAATCAGAGAAACGCTTTTTTATATCGTAACTAAATTTTTTTTTTCTCTGCCGTTCGAATCGGGAAAACTTACAGCTTCCTCTATGATGTATTGTGGGTGAATATTGAATTATGATGTTGAGGAGTTAACTCTTGTAGTGTATATTTTGTGCTGTCATTGAAAAAAACCTTCAGTAAGTGATCATTATTATTATTTTTTTTTGATTGGCCAATATAGACACAGTTTATTTTATATTTTTGCGAACTTTTTTGAGTTAGCGGGGCTGATTTTTTAGTATCTCGGTAAGCTAATGTGTTCTTTGTAAAAGTTTAAATGAAACTAGATTGACAGCTTTTTATTTTTTTTTTTTTTAAAAAAAAGGACAACATGAGACATCAGCTCATGTTAAATTTCATTTGACGGTCTTTTTTTTTACACGAGAATGATACTACCAATTCTCTTGGAAAGTTTACGGAATTTTCTCTAAAGCAATAAGAAAAGTGTCTGACATTTCCCAGGTAATAGGCACAGATTTTTTCCTGTAAAAAAGACAGATGTTTAATTTGACAACGGCTGGTAACACTCATGGCTTTCATCAGTTGTGTCCTCTAAATAAATGTCTTGTCACACCATAGAAGTGCACAATATTACTTATGCGCAATATATTCATGGACTTTGACTTTCAAAGTATCAGGTCAAACCACACTGTAATTTGTAAACTTTTGTTGTAATTAAAAGGATAGCTTAAAAACTTTGGTATGCCAAAATTATGTCTTAAGTTACACCATTAAAGTGTTCAATATTGTATGTAATTATATTGACTTCAACTTCTGAAATTTGCAGATGTACATTTACACTGAACTTTATTTGTAGGATTTTAGATCTAACCACATAGAGACTGGTACAAAAAAAATAGAAAAAAGGGATTTTTTTTCGGTTGGGAAAAAGTGACGTTTGAATATGCATGCCTCATAAATAATATCTTACCACACGTTACAATACTAGTAACTGGTGCAGTGGCGATTCCTGAAAGTTCGCAAGATAGTATGAAAATCAGTAAGATTAAGATTGATAAAAACAAAGCCACTACCCCCACCCCCCGCCCAATATGAATAGTCCATATAAACCCTGGTAAAAATTGGCGATAGCAGCTGCGTTTCAAAACACCATAGTAATTCTTAAAGCCGGCTAAAGAAGGCAATAGAAAATCTAAAACTGGCTGTAGAAAGCGGAGCAAATCATACAGCCGGGCTATACGAAGCGATAAAGAAGTACACAGCCGGGCTATAGTTCCTATCGCCGGGCTCTACACTTTATCGTCATCGGCTATGAAATGCTATAAGAAATTGTGTAGAAATTTGTGTGCTTTGGAAATCATTAAGTTTGATACGGAACCACCATAATATTTACAAAACACACATTATATTTTCCTTTAATACATTTTTTTTTTCATCAATTAAAATGAGAATAATCCATACAGGATGTGCAAACATTTCAAAATCATCAGTTGAAATACGCTGACTCCGTGAGATTATAAATTTGAGCCTAACACAGAGCAGAGCGGCGTGCTGCCAGCGATAAGCGCGCACCAGCGCCTACAAACCTAACAGGGATACTTCACGCATGGCGCAATGCGTGAAGTATCCCTGTTAGGTTTGTAGGCGCTAATGTGCTTTTCGCGCTGGCTGCCCGCCCGCCGCGCCGCAGCGTGCCACGGCGCTTGAAGCAACTATTTCACACCAGAGGTATTGCACAGTATCATACGAAATTGAAGGCGCTCCAATATATCAGGAATGGCAGGCATCCCTCAAAAGTACGGAGCTTTCCGCGCAAAATAAATCAAGATACTACGGCCCAAAAATAGAGCGGTAGTCCAAAAACTCACTAAGTCCTAGCATCAGTAATTAGTAACATTTAACATACACTTTATCACCTGGCTGTCGCTTAATCGCCATCGGCTATAAAAAGCTATATGAAATTGGGCAGCCGGCTATAGAAGCTATTGAAAATCTTACAGCCGGCTTTAGGTCTATGGTATTTTGGAACACAGATTCTACTGCCAATTTTTACCAGGGAATTAATGTAAAACAATATATTTTTGGCGAGGCAGCTTCTTCACCTATGAAATGGACATTTTAATGGATTTAAATGGAGAAAAACAGTGTTGTCTATTTGCTTAATATCCACTGAACTATTGCGACACAGTAAGTACGTTGCTTGCCTCGGGTTGGTTGTTGGACTAGGGGGGGGGGGGAGATGGTACTGTTTGTATGACATAAATCGCAGGACTGCCTCGCTGGAGGTATTTGAAGTTGTGCCCCCCCCTCCCCCAGAAAAAAACTATATTAATAGTAAAAAATTTAAAGTACCTAGTAAACTTGCCCTTCCTCCGACACCTGCACAGTTGATCATAACGTCAACACCGCCGAGTGTTTCTTCTGTCCATCTGAATGCCTCCATGATCTCCTCTTCGTTCTGCAGCTCTACACTGCGTGGATACAATTCTCCGGCTGATTTTATGTCATCTTTCATCTCCTGTAAAACACACGAGTTGCCATTTAATTGGAGTTCTTTCACAGTACTTTCGGAATTTCTCATTCCGACTTCTCTATCGATAGTTTAAGTAAAGAAATACTTACCTCCGACTATATATGAAATTGCAAATATTTGCAAATGTTTTATACTTCTTTAGAGAAAAAAAATCTACTCATAGTTTTTTTCACCTTCTTTAATATTTTACTCAATAAAAATATTCACAAGAAACTGCAAAGAAATATTTTTTTTTTTTGTTATAAATAAAATACAATTAAAATATAACTCCTTACTGGTCATCTGCTCACTGTTTAGTAGATTTTTAATTATATGTATGTACGTTATTGCGGGCTTCTTTTGATCCTGCGAACGATTGCAATGTAAGTGGCTTGGGATCAGTAATAGTTGCTGCAGTAGTTTGATCGTGTTTCAAGAATAGCGTTGGCGGAAAAAGATTGCTATGCTTGTAGTGTCGCCGGCGTTTGAAATTCGATCAAATTGCTCTCAATAATATTACACCTAATAAAAATATAATGGTGGACTTTTAAAAGTTGCATTTGATAGAGATACGCATTCCTAGGATTTAGTCATAGGCTTATACATGAGACTGTCTGCGGGAACGGGATCTCAATGCAGAAAAATTCAAAATTTGTAAATTGATTCTGATGTTACTTTGAGTATTACTATGGAAATTTAAAACAAAAAACTGTCAAAATTCAAATTCAACCGGAGGTATAAATGTTTGAAGTTTGCGGTTCATTTAAAATAGTTTCTAGAAAAGTTTTTTCACGAATTAGTTGGATTGAAATATTGTATAACTTCTTAATGTGGCTCAAAAATGAGATCATATTTCCCCTTTGAGATCTTGGAAGACGCTCAAGGGAACCGTAAAAAAATTATAGAAAAATTTAATCTCACGATCCAACCATAGCTCGCTTAAAAAATAGATTCCCTCATTAGTTTTTTAGTTTCCATGCGAACAATCACGTAACTCACATGTACATTGAGATTGCAGAGAACACTTTTTTAAGTCAGAAATTTGAGGTTTATGAGTTTCGATGCTTAAAATGTGTTTTTCCTCTCTTTAAGGCGTCCAAGCCCTGGGGCTAGTCGGCAGTCGGTCTTCTCAAGGAAAGAATTCCACTTGCAAGTGAAAAAATAATAAACAAACCGAGCCTTTGCACGCGTTTCCAACCATGAACTTCAAAAATGTAGGTCAGAAAGTGACCTCACGTGGGCTTTTGTAAAAAAAAAACCAAGTGGTTTTATAAAAACTTTATCAATATATTATAGCCATTGGGACTCGATAAACTCACACCAGAATCCTTGTATTTAAATTCGTGTTGTTCCACCAGGAAATCACATCGATGACTAAAGTGCGAAACCGCGTATTTCCATTTGTGACGTTGCAGACTTCCTGTCATCAGAGGCGGATCCAGCAATTTGGCAACACCGGATTTCCTCCATTTAAACCTATGCTAAATAATCGATTCTTATCGGAGCACCTGGTCCCTCCGAGAATCGATAAACTTCCATAGGTTTTAATGGAGAAAAGACAATGTTGCCAACTCGCTGGATCTGCCAATGCCTGTTATACTCTATTTTTTCTTTTGCAACTAGTCAGCCTAATTTCTGGGAAAGTCCCTTGAATTTTCCTCTATCAGCGGTGTATTCTGCAATAAATGTCAAGCTATGACATGATTGGCTTTTTCTGCCTTGCTAAAGGAAAACGCCATAACAGCCCTTAGACGTTGCCACATTTTATTCAATAAAACGCAAATTTACCCGGGATATTGTGAATATTATTCTTCATTTTTTCCGGACGATTTTGTTAGCAATTTTACCTGAAATATTTCGACATTTCAAGAAAAGATATGTTTTATCTAGGTGAATTTGGCATCTCTTGAATGTTCATACGGCGTTTTTTCTTAGCACGGCGGTATTTCTCCTCGGAGAAATAAAGTGGATGTGAAAGTTTTGAGACACCGCAATAGAGATACGTGGTTTTGCACTTTAACCATTGAAATGATAATTTCTCTTGAGTACAAGCATTTTCTTTCAGAATGAAAATAGGAAGAAGAAAATCAGATAAGATGAAAACCCTAAAAATTCAGGAGAGGTGGGAGGGTGAGGGTAGGTTTTCACCGGTAAAGGTTGAAGCAGAGGGATCCCTCTTTTCGGAAGACTTTTTACCTGCAGCATATCTGTGTTTTTGTCAACACCGATGACATTGAGCCCCAACTTGAGGAGTTTGCGAGTGACGGCTGCGCCGATCCCAGAATTTGCGCCGGTGATCATCGCATTTCGACCTTGCCATTTATCCATCTCGAACCTGCGCAAATAATCGTTCATGAACATTACTTTAGACACCAAACCGGATGCAAACATGAGAAATTACTTACTCGAGCAAATAAATATTCACCTGTCGATGGGTCAGCATTAAAGGGGTCATTTGCGCTGGGCGCAGAATCGTGTTTTGATGCTTGATTCTTGTAGATTAGCTAAAGCTAATGAGATCTATCTAAACGGCAACTTTCCAAGTTGAATATTAGCCGAGATATCACCCTTTGAAAAGTCGGGTTTTGACGTTATCGATAGCGGCAATGACACCCTTGATTTCTTACACCTTGCGAGTTTTACGTTGAATAACCTGTTCAAATGTGTGTCACACCGACTGCTGAAAGCAAGGTCTAAGAAACCAAGGGTGTCACTACCGCGGCAGATGACGTCAAAAACTCGACTTTTCAAGGGGCGATATCGGTTAATATTGACGTAGAAAGTTTCTGTTTGGATGGACCTTATTATTTTTAGCTGATCTAAAATAATCAAGCATGAAAACACGATTCTGCAACCAGCGCAAGTGACCCATTGGATCAAATTTTGCAATTTGGAACTGAAATTTCTGGCTCATCCATCAAACTACCTACTTGCATCGGTAAACTTACGGCACGTGTGCTGTTTCTGACATGAACCAGAAACTATAGCTCTTAATTGCAAAATGAAGTTGCCGTTGTGGTTAAATTTTCTTCTTGTGCGCGTCAAATTTTATTTCAGCGAAACATTAATTAGATCGACTTTTACCATGAACGCACCAAGTTATACGCGTTGGGAAAAAATTATTTGGGAGTAATTTTGAGTCCTCTGAATAATGCAGAGAAGAACCATAAAAAGCTTTCTAGAAAATTTTTATATCATTTTAGGAATTTTGTGACAGTCCAAATTTTGCCAAATTTATGTCAGTAATCTATTGTTTTTCGTGACAATTTCACTTATTACTTTTAGAATAAAAGATTGTATCAGAAAAATAATTTTGCAGACGTTCATATGTCGCGGAATTTCCCCCATAATAAAATATTGCATTTTTAAGGCAAGTTATTAATATTTTTCATTGAAAATTCTAGATACAATTGACTAGGTTGCTTTTAAGTCTCTGAAAAATTCATAAATGCGCATACAGTCAAACTTCCACAAAAGTGCGATTTTATCAGACGAAATTTGACAACTTACGAATGTTCACACTGCGCTTTTGCGTAGCATGACAAAAACGTCCTACATATTTAAGTTGCATAATTCAGCGAGTAATGCTCAAAATGAAAACAATCGAGACGCTATCACCAATTTAACATTCCAGCAAATTGAGAAATGACCGAACAAGAGGAAATACAACATCTTATGATCCTTGAATAAGAATATACAAGGAAGGGGATTTAAACAATTTGGCAAGAAGGTGTCGTAAAATTCGGCGAATCATTCCGCGAAACACCGTCAACCGCACAAAAAATATGTCCTTTCTGTTTTGATTTATAGTAACATTTTTCAGCCGAACATATGATTTGGCAACATGATTTTTTTGATAATATGTGAGGTCGCAATCCGCCCATATATCTTCGCATGTTTAACGTGCGCTGCAGCGTTAACCGTGGAGACGTTCAAGCAACACAAGACGAAATTTTCCAAAAAATTTGATTGCAACTCCACATCCAATTAGACTCTTGATGCAATCATGAACCCCCTGAAATTACGCAACGCTGCCCTGACCCTCCCTCTGAACTTTTTCTTTAAAAAACATAAGTCGATTAGAATTTAACTCAAATAGATTGTTGATGGTGAATGCCAAGCCACGTATCTCGGTTTGTGACGTTGCAGACTCCCTGTTATAATTCATTGTTTAAAGAGGGAACTATTCAACATCCATGCTTAAAAACTTCCATGATTTTTCTTCCCTGTGTGAGGCAAATTCTGAGAAACCATCAAAAAATGCGGTCGATTTTTTCTCCTTTTAAAAAAGGAAACAAGCAGGGAGATTTTTAAACATTGCAAACGAGATACGTGGTTTGGGAGTATATCATCATCGTCATGGTTTTCTTGTGAGCGGGAATTTTGAATTTATCTATCAAAAAACGTTAATATCTTCGTTAGTATATACTTTCAGGAATTTTTGTCGTGCAAATCATGTTTTTCGTGAAATTTTGTTGAGAGTGTATATAATGATGCTTTTATCACCCACTATACCCTGTTTGGTCGTCCATACTACCGTGCTAAGGGAGAACGCCGTATAGGCATTTGAATGTTGCCAAATCTCCTCTCAGAAAAATATTTATATGTGAAGGAAGTTACGAATATTTGAACCGCGGCAAGCAGGAAAGAACCAAGCCAATTCACCTAATACCAAATTTAAGTGGGTAATTTAATTTTTTACACGAAAACGGTTCTGCGGATTTTTGTGCGAACATCAGTGTATTTTATGCATTAGAACGAAGCAAATTCTTGAAATTTTCAAAAAAATCTGCACAGACGTTTTCTTGAAGAAAAGAAAATGGTCAGTTAAATTTGGCAATAGTTGATGTGGCTTGGTCCCTCTCTGCTTAACGCGGTCCATTTTCCCTTGAAATTTTCAGACATTTTTTATCTAATTACGTACGAAATTCTCTGAAAAATCAGAAGAAAAAGATTCATATTTTCCCCAGAAAATTTGTAATTTATCCGAGGAACTTTTGTTACTTCTGAGGGTCATAGGGTGTTCTTCCTTAAGCCCTGGATAGACGATCAAATTCCGAACCAATTCCGATGAAAGTAGACAAGCTGATGACTGATGGTTACCAGCTACCATCAAATTTTGACGGGCCGCACTTATTTGTTCAAAGTAAGATCAGAATGGAGTGCCACCATTCGTCGTTTCCTACCACAGGAAACACTTCTGCCAAGTTTTCATTTTAAAATGAAGCAAATTAATGAGTTTCAGACTGATGACTCCCGACACTTTGATGCTACTTTGATCGGAATTGGTTCGGGAATTTGATCGTTTATCCAGGGCTTTAGAACGGCTTCAGAGTTTAACGACGAGCGTTGTTTCCCGTGCCACGTGACAACCTCGGTCGCGACTCGGGGCAAAGGAATGAAAATTGGTCGGAGGGCTTAAAAACGGTGGCTTTATCGGAGAAGCACTTTCATCACTCGACCGTACCTTCCGTAACTTGGGAGTTTATCTAGGTTATTATGACAATCAACGTGTTTTCGCGGCTACTGCAACGGGCACATCCGGATTCGTCCACGGTCAGTTTTCTAAGGTCCGGATTCGTCCACCGATGGAAAAGGACCGATGTCCGGACTCGTCCACGGTCGAAAAACGCATTGCCGGATCCGTCCACGCGAAATAAATCGACTTATTTTAAACAGACGATGTGGCAAGAGCGCAATGATTCCGATCGGAACGCGTGCGACAGAGAGTAAGTAAGAGCGAGGAAGAGAGTAGGGTAAGTGTTGTGGCAAGGTAATGATAAGACCAGTGACAGCGGTTTGTTTTCGACTGTTTACGGTTCAGTTGTCAGTCCAGTGTGATACATTGATACGATGATGGCCGCAAGTGGGTCTAGCAAACTGACATTTATTTTGAGTGAACGTAACGAGCGGTGTATTATTTTAAATGATTTTAAGTTTAATAAAAAACGGACGGATAAAAAAAATGTGACGAAGTGGGTTTGCCGGGCAAAAGGATGTTCTGCAAAGTGCTTTACGGATTCGAATGATGAAGTTATAAAAGAAGACGGGACCCACAACCACGAAGCAAATCTAAAAAAATTAAGCCGAGCGGCGCTGACAAATGCATGCAAACGGAAAGCGACGGAAGACATATGTGAACGGCCAGCCAAAATAATTGTAAGTGAAATTCAGAACTGTCCACTCTCTCATAATTTAACGTCAAAAGATGTGACAAATACTAGAAAAAGAATTTGGGATGTGAGGCAGAAGGTGTGTCCGCCGCTTCCTAGATCCAGAGACGAGACACACGAAGCAATCGATGCTGTTTCGTACAACAAAAAATCGTAAAAAAAGAAAAGAGAAGAAATAAAGAAAAAAGATTAAAGAAAAAATGAAAAAGAAAAAAAAAACCTTTGAAACACGCCTGCAATTTGCAGCCAGTCCTAAGCCTGGAAAAAGTGTGAAGGAAAGTTTATTTTTTCAATTATTCTTTCATATTTCTTTAAACAAGTGCATGAATGTTTATTTTTTTAAAAATCATTTTTTGAATATTTTTTTTTCAAATTGAGAATAGGGACATCCGACAACAAGAGCCGGCCGTAAGGACTGCCGGCTTCTTATCTGCTAACTCACACTCTTGCGCACGCATTCCGATCGGAATCATTGCGCTCTTGCCACATCGTCTGTTTAAAATAAGTCGATTTATTTCGCGTGGACGGATCCGGAAATGCGTTTTTCGACCGTGGACGAGTCCGGACATCGGTCCTTTTCCATCGGTGGACGAATCCGGACCTTAGAAAACTGACCGTGGACGAATCCGGACGCCCCCACTGCAACTTTTGCTTGCAATTAACGGCTAAGGCCAGATTTGCCTCGTCTCCTTACGCTCCGCTGCGCTCAAAGAATCCACCAACGTCTTAGCGAGAAACCCGGGGTTAAACCCGGGTCCTGGATCTATATTATTCCAAGGAGCCCTAAGACCTTTAAGAACAACGACAGGAACGAAATTAGAAGCAAGTCCAGATTTGCCTTATAATGGACCACTAGACAAGGTACGAATTTAAGCATTCTGATACATGTTTCCTAGTCAGAATTTCACTTAGAGCACGATTCGCACAACGAAAATTACTGAAACGAACTCCTAACGAAGATATTAACGTTTTTATTTCACATTGGTTACGAGGAATGTGAACTGTCCGCTCACAAGAAACTCAAAGCTCTACGTGAGTCAAATCGCCCACTACAACGGTTTCAGCAAGCTTCTCAATCGAGTAATGTTCATTTCCCACCATGTGTTGTTCAAACTATAAACAATTTGCTACAGCTGAGTCAAAGCGTCAAGATTGAGGTTGCCAGATTTTTATATCACAGACACTGTCATGATAAACGTTTAGCGCGCGATGTGAATCTAGTAGAGCATTGAGTTTTCATGAGCGGGTGGTTTGAATGCACGCATCAAGAACCATTAAATATCTTTGAAAGGAGTTGATTTCGGTAATCAGCGTTGTGCGCATCGTGTTCTACGTGAAATTTTGGTGGAGAAATATGTATCAGAATGCTGAAATTCGTACCTTGTCTAGTGGTCCATTGGAGTCCTCGGCCGCGGGATAAGCTATCTACGGGCAATTTGTTGAAATCTATAGACAAAGTGATGGACGAAACGATGGACAAAGCCATAGACAAAGCTATAGACAAAGCAATAGACAAAGCGATCGAAATAACGATCGACCAAGGAGACAGCGAGTAAGCAGAGTGATCTTATCGGTGGAGGCGGGTGATTGCAATGGACAAAGGAGGTTTGTAATATACTAATGGCAACTTACGAGGGACTCTAGTTTGTCCATCAGATTACCCCTTAGTCTATATACTAACCGCCCGTTTCAACCATAGAATCGCTCCATTTTCTCTATGTCTATTTTGTCTGTAGCTCTGTCTATTCATTCTAACAATCGTTCTAACTTTCAGTGTTTAATTTCAATGGCTTAAGTCGCAAAATTCGAATCTTGCAATCATCTTCAGTCGCAACGTTGCAAATATCGCTTGTTTTTTTGGCTTACAAATAAACTAACCGTTTAATGAAACTTTCTACGAATTTTTTCACGCATTTAAAAATACTCATGGAAAATTTCAGAGACTTTTTAGATGAACGTTCTTTGAAAATTAAAGCATGATCGAAGATTTTTGAACACATCAAGAAATACACACATTTTTTTACTTCAGCCATCGATGTAATATATTTTTCCTCTTCTCTTAATTGAATGCGCGGCTAAGAGATTCAGAAGACATTTGATTTTGAACTATGCCTAGAGGGGTAAAAAAATTTAACATTCAGTAAACCTTCCTTCTTTTTAAGAAAAAAAATTCTTTAATCTAATCTATCTTCGATTTTCGGTATTTTTCAGTCATGTTCTGTAATTTTAATCTGTTTCGTGAATAATTAGGTAGAAACACTCCAACAGTTTTAATGCAATATTCCGCGAAAACGAGGAAAGTTGGGTCAGTGATTCTTAACCTTTAAGTCCCTTTCAATTCTCTATTGAACGCCAAAATTTAAATATAAAACGGAACACAACATACCCACGATAATAACATAATTCACGGTTGATTTTTCTCACTCATCATCCATTAAAAATTCGAAAACTTAAGTTTACAGCAGCTCTGATTTTTATCAAATCATTCTTGCTCTAATTGTAACGATATTAATATTCATTTAAATATAAACATTGCTTTAGGTTAAATATTTATACGTCAGTAATCAAGTGCACGAACTACATACCGTATACAGGACTACATAAACAGAAAATGATTGAGGTGATTATTATCTACAACTGGTTTACGCTATGGGAAAAATTCTATGTATATTCCGGTTTGACCCGCGGTATCACTGTGTTTTTATACATCTTAAGGTCCACTTTAAAATGCTAATAGCTTACTTTTGCGATGCGCTACCCTACCGCACCTGCTTCACACTACACAAACATTTATCTTCAAGTCAAGGCAAGTCAAGTCTTACCGCATGATGTCAGAATACGTCCAGCCGCCAACTGTCACAGAGTGTTAATGACATTTTGCGGGGACCTCTTGATGGAAGAAAGGATATGAACTCGATCTAAATGTGTAATTTTAGCGAATCCGACCCAGTGTCAGGTTCGCACGGTTTGCCCGCGAGTTATGATCTTAATTGCAATTGCGAAAGTATCCATGTGACAGTGCTTTTTTTCTCCCACTTACAAAGCCTGATAGCCGTAAAAAGTTATCAGATCAGTCGTGGCACCTAAATTCCATTCTTCCACACTAAAATGCTACTTAGGGGCCAGAGTAACTTTCATGCGGTTATTTGTTCGAATTTGATGCAAAAACGAGGGTTTCGGTATACGAGAAACGACTTAGTGCAAGTGATGGTGTAATTGTGCTCTAATGAAAGAGACTATATAATTGTGTGACTGTCCATAAAGAAAAAGAAACTTTCATCCCTTCCCCAACAAAAAAAAAAAATTAATAACACACGACAGGAGAAGATGTTGGGACCACCAATGCTCGAAAATGTCAAATTGGAGTCATGGCTGTATGTAAAATTTTGCAATTAAAAAAAAAAAAAAAAAGCGATTTCCAGGAGAAGCATTTTGAAATGGTATCGCCGGAATATAATGCAACTTGACGAGATTTGATTTGAATCGGTTTCTGTCATGGAAAAAAAAGTATTGCGGGTTTACCCCCTAAAATTGTGGTACTACCCTAATTTGTTAAATGATGAGTACTGCAATATGTGGGTCAGTAATCTAATTTATTGGGGTACTACCACAATTAATTGGGGTACAGGTTGTGCCACAATTAATTGGAAATGTCCATATCATCCAAGAAACCGGAGCTCTTTTTTTCCGTGATGGGTGTAAGGCGAGAAAATCATGAGCCCTGGCTTTCGTTGATCACGGAGGACGCGAGAGCTCATGAGTTTCGTCTGATAGAAATCAATTCATTTTTTGGCATAAAAATTTACAACACCAACACCATTGCAAGTACATTCCTCAGGACACGCGAGAAATTTCCTACCGAAATATGAAAATCCTGTCTACGCCCACTGGTAAAAGTGGTCTCGATTCGAGAGAAATATCCTCACGAACGATATATGAAGAGAAAGTAGAACAAAGCAAAATAAAGAAATGAAAAGAAAACGATGTGTTAGGTCATTGTAGTTAGAGTTCAATAGACTTTTTCAGTTTTTCTCCTCTTTATGTTCTTTCAAACCATGATCATGACATTGTGAATCGGACTGCATAGTATGTAAGCTGCAATAAGTACTAACTGATCTTGACATCTAATTCAAAATAACACGGTTGCTCTAATTCATGGCTCTTTTCAAGGTGAAGTTTAATACTTTAGACGCGTGGTCATTGCCCATTGAAACTGAAGCGCTCTCTGCTCGTATAATGTACGAACACTCGTGTGGGACATTGTGACGGAAAAATTTCAACTCAAATTTTCAAGTTTTTGGAAAAGTAATCTATTTTGAGTGTTAACCACTAAAACATTGCTTCCAGTTTTTGCTGAAGTTTTTTTTTTAATTGTATGCATAATATGTGATGAAATAAAGGTCGAGTGATCATGCTTGGACTAATTTTGCATATTTAAATCAAAGAACCCTTAAACATTCCAAATACCGAGCATTTAAGATCATTTCAAAATTAGGGAACAATGATTCGCGAATTTTAGGAAAAAACCAGGGAGTTTGTCGCAGAATCGAGGCGTGAATGATCGATTTTGAAACATAAGAAAACATAAGAAAGAAAAAGAATAGGATTTGAGGGGAAAGAAGAGGACAAAAAGTAGTGAGGACAAGAAAAGGAAAAAAAAGGAAAAATCACAAGTAGATAGAAAATTATTACTATTTCACAAAGGAGGAAGAATAGGAAGGGAAATTTGAATAAAATTGGATTCTCTGAGAAATTATAAATAAATTCGAGAAATTGTGTCACCTCAACCACCCATGCTAACAGCAAATTTAGCGCCCTCCTCTCCGGCCAACGAAGGAGGAAGAAGAGAGAAGAACGTAAGAAAGGAGGAGGAAAGGAGAGAGGAACAGAAGAGAAAATGAAGAAACAGGAGAGGAAGTTGAGGAGATCAGGAAAAAGAGGAAGAGGACAAGAAGAAAAGAAAGGAAAATTGGAAAAAGAAGGGGA